AAAGCTCTCATACACACTACTAAAAGCTCTCATACACACTAGTGAAAGCTCTATTACACACTAGTGAAAAGCTCTCATACACACCACTAAAAGCTCTCATACACACTAGTGAAAAGCTCTCAATCACACTAGTGAAAAGCTCTCATACACACCACTAAAAGCTCTCATACACACCACTAAAAGCTCTATTACACACTAGTGAAAAGCTCCCATACACACCACTAAAAGCTCTCATACACACTAGTGAAAAGCTCTCATACACACTTCTAAAAGCTCTCATACACACTAGTGAAAAGCTTTCATACACACCACTAAAAGCTCTTATACACACTAGTGAAAAGCTTTCATACACACCACTAAAAGCTCTCATACACACTAGTGAAAAGCTCTCATACACACTAGTGAATAGCTGTCATACACACTATTAAAAAGCTCTCATACACTCTAGTGAAAAGCTCTCATACACACTACTAAAAGCTCTAATACACACTAGTGAAAAGCTCTCATACACAATAGTGAAAAGCTTTAATACACACTAGTGAAAAGCTCTCATACACACTACTAAAAGCTCTATTACACACTAGTGAAAAGCTCTTATACACACTAGTGAAAAGCTCTAATACACACTAGCTAAAAGCTCTCATACACACTAGTGAAAAGCTCTCATACACACTACTAAAAGCTCTATTACACACTAGTGAAAGCTCTCATACACACTAGTGAAAAGCTCTCATACACACTAGTGAAAAGCTCTATTACACACTAGTGAAAAGCTCTCATACACACCACTAAAAGCTCTTATACACACTAGTGAAAAGCTCTAATACACACTAGTGAAAAGCTCTCATACACACTAGTGAAAAGCTCTCATACACACTACTAAAAGCTCTATTACACACTAGTGAAAGCTCTCATACACACTAGTGAAAAGCTCTCATACACACTAGTGAAAAGCTCTATTACACACTAGTGAAAAGCTCTCATACACACCACTAAAAGCTCTTATACACACTAGTGAAAAGCTCTTATACACACTAGCTAAAAGCTCTCATACACACCACTAAAAGCTCTTATACACACTAGTGAAAAGCTCTAATACACACTAGCTAAAAGCTCTTATACACACTACTAAAAGCTCTCATACACACTACTAAAAGCTCTCATA